TAATAAATTGGCCTGGATAGGAAGCACATTGTCAAATCAAAGTAGTAGTAGTTTTATTTTAATGTAAAGCATGTGCTGTGTTTAAACATTTTAACTGAAGAGTCATTTATTTGTCCTTCTAAGCTTCTGTGCCTTTTTATCACACTTCCAAATTAAAACACAAAAAGTGCAATTAAAGTCAAAACTTTTTCCATAGTTTTGATAGAGTGGAGAGTGATTAGAACATACAGGGAGATTCACTCTCTCCATTTTCTCTGTTTACCATTGTTATCAAAATGAAATCCCAAATTTTGGGTTGACATCAGAACACTAATAGAGGGGAAATCTACCAATGAGAACACTAGTTCTGGTGACACACCAGGATTCCCTCACTTTGGAGGGATTTCCTCTCACTTCCTGTTTTGGCTGTGGGACAGGAAAAATGTCCCCCAATGGGACACATTTGGCAAAAAAAAAACTGATGGAGGTTATAACCCTCCCCTGCCCTGTCCAAAATGGGAAATAAAATGTTGCCTTTAGTTACATTTTAACATAGTTACTTGACTTAAAAAAGACACAAGCCCATTAATGTCAACCAATAGAGAAATGAGGAACTTGCATTTACAGAACTCTAAACCTGCGGTTGATCCAGAGGAAGGCAAACATAACCCTTATGAAGCACTGTTTGATGTACTTCTAACAGGGAAAAAATATCATTCCTGATCCCCTAAAGCAGGGGTTTCTAAATTTTCTAAACAAAGGGTCAATTAACTGTCCTTCAGACTTTTGAGGGGCCAGACTGTGGCCAGTGTGAGTAAAAAATGCCCCAGCATCATTGAGAGTGAACTACCACTTCATTGGTTTTAGTGTAAGTAATATTGCCCCATTGTTGGTATCAGTAGAAGGAATAGTGTCCTATTGTTGGTATCAGTGGAAGGAATAGTGTCCTATTAGTATCAGTGGAAGGAATAGTGTCCTATTGTTAGTATCAGTGGAAGGAATAGTGCCCTATTGTTAGTATCAGTGGGAGGATTAGCACCCCATTATTGGGGTCTGTGGGAGGAATAGTGCCACACCATTGGTGTCAGTTGTGGATGAAATAGTGCCCCGAGGGCCAGATAGAGGCAAGCAAAGGGCCACAGTTTGAAGACCACTCCCCTAAGGCAATCTATTCCCTGATTTGTCGTGATGTTAGTATATTATTTATTTTATTACGTTCTTTTAGCCAGTTATAGTTTGTGTATTTAAAAAGTTTTTAAATTCAGGGTTTTTTTTTTAATAATCAACTGTGCTGGCTCCTGAGGAATTCTTATTCTACATTTTCATACCTCTTAATGTGAAGAAGCCTTTTCCTATGTGGAAGGAAAAACTCTTGTTATAAACACAAAAAGTACCCCCTTATATTTTGCAAAGACTATAAAGTGAACAACTTTGTAGCATGCTTACTATAAAGACTGTTTATTTATAAAAGGTGATCGTATCCCCTCTTAAATGCCACTACCCAAAAGGAGAGTAAATTCAGTTCACACAGGTTACCTCCTCTATGCCTCCTTTTAGTTTAGTTACCATTCTCTGCACTCTTATAAGTACTACAGCATCCTTTTTTGTGGACTGCTACCCAAAACTGGACTGCATATTCCTGGCGAGGTCTTACTAATGCTTTGTATAGGGGCAAGATTTTAGGGTTGATAATTACTGAAGACATATAGATTGTTCACTTTCCAAGTGAATTTACCCCAGAGCTTAGTAAATGATATGCAGTTTACTGATTCCTATCATCTATTCATGTGCAAGCAAAAATTTGCAGCTTTTTTTATTTTCTTTGAAAGTGATTGGGATATTCTCTGCATAGTGAAACTTCCCATTTATTAAAGTGTTACTAAACCCACAACAGTAAAATGAGTCTGTATATGCAGTAAAGCATGCTTGTTCTATACTCACTGTGGAACTGGGGTTAATCTTCCGCATTGTGTAAAAAGGCTGTTTGATCCTGTCTTCTCTGATCCTCCCCTACTTTTAATTTCCCCAGTTCATCTGCCATAGTACAAATCAGCAGTGGCAAGTCCGCACATGTTTGGTGTGTATTGCTAGAGAGCTTTTTTGGGTTTTTTTTTTAGGAGGGTGCATATGATTGGTACATGGCCAATCAGCACTGCCCGGACAGAGGGTCAAGGGTCATGCAGCCTCATAGGTCAGTCAGAGGAGAATGAAAACTCTTACAAGATTAACTAGTGCTCAGCCAGACACTGCTAAAAGTCACAAAACTACTATATACTGCTGATGAGGAAAGGTATTTAGCGGTTTATATTTACTAAAATAATTGCTTTTACTTGTTCTGTGTACTGTGCATGACCAGATAAAGTGAATGCAGGTTCCTAGGTTTAATAATACTTTAAGCTGTGGGGCAACTTCCCTTGCAAAATGAGCAGCCTATATTCTTACAGTAAATAAACCCCCATGTCTCTCCCACTGTAGTTCATACCTCATTTAAAAAAAGTATTTTGCTTGAAACTGTAACTTG